ATTTCTGACTGGCGACAAGCAAATAGATGTGCTAGAAAATCAGCCTGAGAGCATCTTGTACTCTCAATTCATTTGTTCCCTGAAGTGAAGATTTCTAAATATCTGTCACATTATTTGCGGTTAGCACTATTATTTGTATCTGACACAAAAGACACCTATTCTGAGAGCAAATTGAAGAAGCGTGTGAGTGTGCACCAAAAGATGAATGAATACATCCGAAGAACTTCAAAATGATTCCTATGCACATAATCTGTTATTTTGTCAGTTTCGTCGGCTGTTTTGTCACCGTGCTCAAGAATCAGTGTCGAGTCAATGCGACTTGGGTCTTTTGAAAAGAGTATGTATTTACTGGAATCTCACAAAAGACAAATGTAAGGTTTTAAGCACCAGTAACTACAGTACAAAAGCACCACTGGCGACACAGATCATTCAGCTCACAGGCGTGGAAAAGTTAAAATGAGTGTTTTTATGTTGCTGTTAAGCTGTAAAGCTCGAAGAGAGAGACGAGAGGAAACAACTCCAGACTGTCTGTCACAAGCTGTCATAAATCAGATACCCCAGCATGCATTTACACACAGACAAAGAGACAAAAAAACATCCAGACACTTGCTTCCAATTTAAACTACATTTCCACAGGCACATCCAACAGTTCTCTTCAAAATTTTCCTCTTGTGCTGTTTGAGAAGATAACATCTTCAAACCAAAAAACTGCTTGGGTTGCAAATACACCAAAGCTAAGACTTCCCCAAATTGGATAAGGACGAGAAAGAAAGAGATTGTGAGGGAGACTAAGAGACGAACAGAACTTCATATTAAAACAAAGCTTATTACGTCTTTTACATTACGCATAAGCTAATCACCTGTCTTTTTCTTGCTTTGTCAAATTAAATTAGTATCAAATTAATGGCTCGTGTTAAAGAAATGATCCGTAAGCCAGTGAACGTGTGGCACGAATGACAGCACAATAATTTGATCGCACTGTGTCAGAGTCATTCAGCATATCTGTGGGAGACGCTTCTTCTTCAGCATCAAAACAAGCACTCGGACTCTCTCTCTCTCTCTGTCCTGTCAGCCGTGACAGCGCGTGCAGCCACACTAAATGGAAATGTATAATTACTACGGCCTCAAATGCTAATTAAAACTTTGCCTAATAATAATTCTCAATAATTACACATCCCAAATGGATTCTGGGAGCGACGAACGTCTGGGCAATTATGGTGGCGTGCTTTCTGCCTCTGAGAGAAATGGTCCATCCACACACACACACACACAAAGAAGAAAACTCCACTCACAAACCTCAGACAGTCCTTGAACACGATAAATAGAAGGATTTTTGCTTCAGACAGGGGCGTTAAAGCTGAGGAATAATATCATTAGCTTGTAAATCAACACTTCCCGAAAAAGCAAAACCAAAAATATGGCGTGACACAACTAAACCAATCTATTCACTTAGCCAACCAGAAGCTTTCTTTACGTTTGCTCTTTCTAGCACATAGATATATACATTAGATTTCGCCTGGTCTATTGTTGTCTATTGAACAGAATGCGTCAATAGCGCCGCCATCTTGGTACAGAGTAGCGCTCCTTTGAAATGAATGTGGGACCAAGGTACAGTGGAGGACTGTGGCCATCCAAAGCCAGAGATATACACATATATCTATGATCTGGAGTTTTCCTGGATGATAGTATGTAACTTTTTTCTCTATTTACGAAAATTATAATTTTACATCACTTTTCTACATTGATGGATCAGTGACCACACGGGCATTCCTGACAAAAAGCTTTTGTGTGTGTGTACAGAAATGTACTATTCACCCTCCCTGTTAAATTTGATCTAATCATGTCCTGAAACACACCTCGTCTCCTGCTTTCACTTCTTATACTGATGGAGGGAGCGATTCGTTTGTGAATGAATCCCCCAAACGACTCTTTCACTAGCCGACGATAATACAAGTTTCTGGCAGTGCAGCATCTCGTTGTCATATTTCTTTAGCATTGTTTGCTGATTTTATTAAACAAAACTAGCAAAAGCCGAGTGTTAAGTGCGAGTTGGTGCTGCTTTGCCTTATGGTGAATGCAGTAAGTGACTGTTATCAATAACGTTACCTGATTAGCACAAAAGTTCAGAACATACAAAAACAGAAAAAAACTTAATCTTACCAATGAATTGTTCTTCCTTTTGTGCTTTGTTTTCTTTGTTTGCTCGTTACTACACTCGTAGACAGCGCTAAAGTCCAGCATCTTCACGTAATAACACTGTCTTGACTAGTGCGGTTGAATGAATTTTATCCTGGGAGCACTGTACCAATGTGGCGGCGCTATTGACGCATCCTCAGGCTCCCTATGCGATATCTAGTGTATATATCTATGATATTAGCATAGTACTGCAACAAAATAAACAAACAAAAAAGAACACATACCTCGAAATTTCATGATGCTTCACAGGACGACGTGAATACATGTAGACCTTGGGGCTTTATTATTTTACATCTATTTTGAATTTTGCACAATAGGCAAATTATTGTACTGATTGCTATTACTCAAAGCGCATGGCCAGGAAATAGGATGTTTTCAATCACATGGTTCTAATGACATGCAAAAAATCAAATAAAGGGCAGAAAGTAAAAAATACTGGAAGACATAAATCAAAATCTGTATTTTTGTGATTTATACCATATTTCAAAGGAGATATACATTGAAAATAACCACATATGTTGGACATGATTCTATATCATGAAGAGGGCTGAGTTTTCTACCAAACTAAAATATATTTGGCTGTCATTAATGCGGTACTGTATAATTACGTTACATGAAAGTAAATATAGTAAATACTATAGTGTTTGGAAGCATATAGATAATTACTTGAATTAAACTGTCGTAGTAATTATATTGTTGCTGTGGTACAACACAACTGTTGTAATAAACAAATAATGCAAAAGTCTTCAGTTTTTTATGCTATGGTCACAATGCACCACAGTTTACACTGATGTTACAGTTTGTCAGTTTGTGATAGAATTCTATAGCATTTATTAACAAAGAGTTACACACATTATACACTTTGCTATTTGGTTCAGAAACATGTTTATTATAAATTACTATAGTTTTTTTCCACCATGCAGATTCAGTGCATCCGGAAAGTATTCATAGCGCTTCACTTTTTACACATTTTTTTATGTAACAGCCTTATTCCAAAATAGATTTAATTCATTTATTTCCTCAAAATTCTCCACACAATACCTTATAATGACAGTGTAAAAATTATTATTATTTTTCTAATTGTTGCAAATTTATTAAAACTAAAAAACCTGAAAAATCACATGTACATAAGTATTTACAGCCTTTGCCGTGAAGCTCTACATTGAGCTCAGGTACATTCTGTTTCCACTGATCATTCTTGAGATGTTTTAGCAGGTCACTCTGTCTGAGCTCCAGCATTCTTCTGAGGAGAGAGAAGAACCTTACAGAAGAACAACCATCTGTACAGCAATCCACCAATCAGGCCAGTATGGTAAAGTGGCCAGACGAAAGTCACTCCCTAGCTGGAATTTGCCAAAAGGCATCAGAAGGACTCTTGGACCATAAGAAACAAAATTCTGTGGTCTGAAGAGACTAAAATTGAACTAATTGAAGTGAATGCCAGGTGTTACGTTTGGAGAAAGCCAGGCACCACTCATCACCAGGCTAATACCATTCCTACAGTTAAGCAAGGTGGTGGCAGCATCATGCTGTGGGGATGTTTTTCAGCAGCAGGAACTGGAAGACCAGTCAGGATAGAGGGAAAGATGAATGCAGCAATGTACAGAGACACCCTGAGTGAAAACCTGCTTCAGAGTTTTCATGACCTCAGATTAGGGTGACAGTTCTTCTTCCAGCAGGACAGTTTCCCAAAGCACACTGCCAAAATATCAATGGAGTGGCTTCACAACAACGCGGCGAATGTCCTTGAGTGGCCAAGCCAGAGCCCAGACCTAAATCCTGTTGAACATCTTTGGGGAGATCTAAAAATGGCTAAACGCCGTCACTTCCCATCCAACCTGATAGAGTTTGAGAGGTACTGCAAAGAAGAATTGGCAAAAATTCCCAAAGACATGTGTGCCAAGCTTGTGGCATCATATTCAAAAAGACTTCATGTGTCATGAAAACAACCTATTGAAGGTTTGATGACGTGTTACCATCTTTATTATTAATATGGATTATAAATGCATAATAAATCTAATGTGTTTATGTTATGTTTATGTCTTTTTATGTTTATTACTAAATAAGAAAATTAGTTTGATCAATTTATATAGATTATTATAAGATATAATAAATAATGAGATGGGTGTTTTGAGCTGAAACTTTACAGACACATTCTGATAAGTCAAAATACATATCTTAAGTCGGTAAAAAAGGTGCCCTTTAATGCTTTGGATATTTTATATTTAGCCTATTATTAGCAAACTGATTTTCTTGAAGTGAAAATAGAGCTGCATTTTCAGTACTGCTTATTTATAAAAATCTAGATATGAATTGAGGAAGAGTGGCTTACTTGCTGAACAATGGCATAAAACGAGGTGAAAGATTAGTTTTTTTTTTAGTTCCTCTCTCCTTTTTGTGATTCCTAATAGTAAAGTCATTTGGTGCCGCTGGTGGTCTGAAATGGAACACCTTCCACCAAATGCCATTACATACCCTAATGTGTCTTTCTCTCCCAGCATTCCTCTTCAACGAGAGCTCTAATTAATCCTGAGCAGATAATGTGGTGTGCGGCCTTTGTAATTATCACATGAAACTCTTCATTCTCCAATAGCCCGAATTTCATCTGAAATTTAGAAATTGGACCGTAATCACAGATGCATATCACCTCTTCATCTTAATTGATAATTACTGCTGTGTTAATTTGCAGCCATCTATTATCACACGTGCAGGTAGACTTTTTATCAGGGGGTGCTGGGAGATTAAAAAAAAAGCTGAATTTTACCGGAGGATTTGGTGATTCTCCACAGATACGCAGCTAGATGTGTGTTTCAAATGCATATTTATTGAAAATGTGTTATATAAAAGACAACATTTTTGTACATGGTGTTAATGTGATATGTGCACAGATCATTCTGTTTGGTAAAACGTTATATTTGACACGATTATCGCTTATTACGATCAATAATACTTTTATTTATCATGTTACCTGAACTCTGAATGCAGAGAGAGTCTTCAGTACCAAAATACATGAAAAAACCATTAAACATAAATGGAATGATACACATATATAGAATGATTTTTAAAATAAACCCCATTTTTTGAAAGAGGACACATTCATGCACTAGGTGTAGTTTCAGGTGGGATCATTCATTGTAAGCCCAGGAAGACGTGTGGTTCTCATCCTTCCTCTGTGTCAGAGGTGCTTTAGACTCTCCTTTCCTTTTCCTGAAAAACAACCCCTTATTCTTCATCTTCCTCTGTTTATACTACTTCACATATGGGCAGTTATCATGGTTTGTGCATTTTTTTTTTTTTAAAGAATATAATCTTAAGATTTGTTGCAATGCATCTATGTGCTAGAAACAAAAATACTGTAAGAGTAGCATGTTCATTTACATATTGTTCAATGAGTTAATGTTCTACCGTTATACAAATTCAAAACTAAGCGTAAATTTGAGTTCTTCTAATTAAAATGTGGGTATCACTTTATTTTGATGGTCTCTTTAGCATATTTTGTTGAATTAAGTTACATTGTATCTACATGCCAATTAATACTCAATAAATTATAAGTAGACTTTTGTGGTTGGGGTTAGTGCAAGATGACATGTACCTGCAAAGTTTCTTATAATCAGTTAAATGTCTTTTAATGGAGCAGTATCATTAAGCAGACAGTCTAATAATACTCAATGAGAAGTAATTGGCATGTAGTTTTTGTCAACAAAATGTGCACTAGGTACCAAAATAAAGTCTTAACAAAATTTGATGTTAATTTACTCACCTTTACACACTTTTCTTCAGTGTACTATTAAAGAATAGTTTTAAGCTGAAACTGTGATACTTTGTGATTTATAAAATGCAAGATAATGGCTACCAGCATTTTAAAACACAAATAACATTTCAAGTAAAACTAACTTAATAAATGAATAAACTAAATGAAGTGGCTCTTAATGATACCTTGAAATGTTATGAAGCGAAAAAAACTAATCCACATTTTTCTTTAAACAACATAACAAACTCTAATCCACAGCAACTCAATTTCCTACTGTTTCAAATACATGAACGCACTATAGAACTGTTTGCTGAGGTTGTGGATTAAAGCTAATGATGTTATAAATAATGTAAGGTTTCTCTTCATAAGATGTCAAAGTATTGTCAGAACTCGTGTAACAAATTAGTTTTGCCTGTATGTGTGTTTTGACTCTCGAAGAGCTGGTGGTTTGCCTTCATGAGTCACTAAGAATCATAGTTTCAACATTGTACAACATTCTAAATAATTCACCTATATCTTTAAGGGCCAGCTCATCCAAAAATGAAAATTGTGTCATCATTGACTTACAGTTTACTTGTACTCTATGTCTTTCTTCTGTTGAACTCAAAATACTATATTTTGAACAAAGCTAAAAAGCTATAACTATAAAATTTCATAGTATTTGTGTCTCCTACTATATAAGTCAATGGATTTAGGTTTTCAGTTTTCTTCAAAATATTAAGAAAGAACCACATAAGGATGAGCATTAACACTTTACAATAATAGTACATGAATAATAATGTATTAATATATAAACTAAACATTACTTAATTATGAATAATGATGAGTTGATGTATGCGCTAATCAAGAACTAAATTTAACTACAAAATGAGTCACAAGAGGTCATGAGTAAATAATGCTACCTTCATTACTTGTTAGTGCATATTGTTAATTAATGTGTTAAGCTTAATGTGTTAAAGATTAAGCTAAATATAACCAACATGAACTCATAAGCTGTTAATGTATCATTACGTCATGACTTTACTTGAGGGGCACATCACCATTAACTCATCCTTAACTACTCATGAACTTCTGTGTTTAATCTGTTCATGTTGATGCTGACAGAACACTTTTCTATTGTTATTCAGTGTAAACGCACCAGTTGGACGGGAATGAGTTCATGAGTAGTTAGGAATGGGTTAATGATGATGTGCCCCTCCAAGTAAAGTCATGATATAATAATATATTAGCATATCATGAATTCATGATGGTTAAATTAAGCTTAAACTAATGTGGTATTTAATCAATTAAATCACAAACAATCGTGTACTAACAATTAGTTAAGGTAGCCGTTATTCACTCATGAAGTGAATCATGCTGTCGTTAACGATAGTTAATGATTAGCTCATGCATTAACATAATTAGTTTATAGTAAAATAATGCTTAGTTTACATATTAACACATCATTATTCATGTACTGTTATTGTAAAGTGTTATAGGATGAGCAACTAATGAGTAAAATTTCAATTGTAGATGAACTATCTTTTTAAAATGGTTTGAGAGTGAGTAAATTACCAGCAAAAAACGTTCATTGTTAAGTGATCTATCCCTTTAAAGATTTATACACAACCAGACACACATTAGTACACGTTTGACAGTTTGAAATAACAGATGTAATGATTGTGCCGATAAAAGTGATTCTGGAATGGGTTTATATCTGCCAATCATCTGAGAGCCAACATTCATCCTACACAGACACAAGAACATATGGAGGGACCGTCTGAGTTACATATGAATGAAAGCTGCGTCAAAACCCTAAGACGCAGCTTTGGCTATTAAGGAAAAACTGTTAGTAAAAGCATGTAAACACCTGTAGATAATGGTGGCTGTGTTTGGTGTTTGTTCCAGAAACTTCGTACACACAGTGGAAAAGGAATGATTGTGTTAAACAGCTGCCGTCATGGGACTCTTCTGTCTTGGGTCGGAGTGCCGTTGGTCTCCGTAAGCATAGCGCTCTGGGCTGGTGTTTCGGTAGCCGCCGCGGCTCATGGTGTCAAATCGAGGGCCTCTGATGGGTATGGTGGGAGATGGGGGGACATCCTGTCGAAGTGGGCCTCTCTGCTGTGGAAGAGGGTGGTAGAAGCCGGCGTCGCCTTGACGAGGATCCAACGGGCGAGGGTAGGCCTCTCTGGGAGGAGGAGGGTAGCCGGGGTGGTAACCTGACTGGGGGTTTGGGTATTGTGCTGGTTCTCTGTGTGCTGACCACTGCTGCACAGGATACTCATTAGGGTCAGCTGGTGCTCTTCTGCAAGAGAGTGAAAGTGAAGGAAATATAGTTAGGGGAAGGAAGGAGATGGTAACACTGGTCAACTGTTCTAACAACCCATTTATTTTCACTGCCCAATTATTAGTTTTCAGTCACATGACCAGTGCGGAGGCTGGCGGACAAATAAACAATGGGTCATTATGGCATCTATACTGGGATTTCCATTTGAAACGCAGCACAAACCGGTCATTTTCCTTCAGTTTCAAGCTACAAATATTTGGATCACATATCAACAAAGGGTTAAAGTCAAGTTTGCTATGAGTTGACTACAATACTTTTAATTTTTATTTCGATACTGGTGCTAAATCAATACTTTTAAGACAGCACCGGTGCCGAAACGGTCCGTGAATTAATACTTTTGGAGGCTAATGCGCACAGCACCGAACTGACCGTGAAAGCAGAGGGACAGAGTGCCCGAGAGAGCGAATGCACGTGACACCTAGAGCGCGCAGAGAGAGACCTCAGTCATATCTCCGCAGTCAGCCACTGATGGCTGATCTCGCTTCTCTGTGGCATTTTGACATAAACATGCCTGTCTAAATTTAGGGGGGCCAGAGGAGGGTCCAAGCTTGTTGACACGGCATCTGCTTCATGTAGCTGTGTCAGAATCATTGCTTGTAAAATACGCTTTAGAATGGTTATTTGATGAACGCAATCATGGGTGTTAATCTGAAGGGAGTCGCACTCGCTCACCGAATGCAATGTACTATGTGCGTTGTGTGCGTCCGTTCCCTAAGCAACAAGAACAAACGCCTGACATCGCCTGTCTGTACTCCTCAAAGTTGTTTAGAAATAAATGTTTAGAGATGGTGTGACAACGCTTACCTATGTGTGCCTTTGATGCACCCCTTGATGCTTCCTTTGTCCTTATCACAGCACCAGTGGCATCGAAATTAGGCACCGAAATTCATTTGCTGATTTGATCCGGTACATACCGGTTTCGGTACCCAACCCTACTTTTAATCAAGGCAGAGCAATTCATCGAAAATTAATCGGGATAAAAAAGTTAAATAGTGTCACACAAATTAGTGTCTCTAAATTTCTATACATTCATACATCCTCAATGCCAGATTGCAGTAAAATAATGTAAATTGAATTTTGCAGCATGAAACATGATTCATTAAGTTGTTTTTTGTATTATTAAGTGTTTATTTTTTACTATTAAGTACTTTATTCATGTTTTTAAAAGCGCAAAAACATTTTCCACGCAATCCCCACCAATGTCAAGAGCGAGTCTACGGCCTTGATTCATTCACTTCTGCAATTTATACTTTAAATTTCCATTTGAATTGATACTTTAAAATATGCTTTTTATAGATGGGTCATGGATCAATGATCCTAACATTCGACACAAATCCATAAATTTCTCCTATCAGGTTGTTCTTTTTCTGAAGGAATTCTGCACAACCCGGGCATGTTCTATGTTTAGTTAATAATAATAATAATAATATTATTATTATTATTATTATTATTATTACTATTAATAATAATAATAATAATAATAATAATAATAATAATAAATAAATCATATTATTATTTTATTATTAAAAATGTATTTGTATAGCACTTTTCAATAGACCTTACATATGCATGTACATGCACATACTGTACATGCATACATACTCTTACACAATATATACATAAAATGCCTACACTTCACATACTGTTTCATTTATATGCAATTTTAAAAATGTGCCTCTTAACACGCTTTTTAAAAACATGAAAGTTGGGGGATAATTTCACTTTATTCGGGACACAATTCCACATTTTTGGAGCATAGTGCTTTATCTTATTGCACAACAATTATCTGCTTTTGTTTGGCAGTCAGCAGAAGATAATGTTTTGGCCACCAGGGGTGTTCCCGTGATGGTGTGACGACAGGTTAAACCTATCGACTGGAATTTTATTTTGCTTGTTTTCATATCTTATCTGTGTTTCTATTTTTATATTTTTTTCAGTCTCCCCTTTTGTATCTGTTGTTTTTTATGATGTTGTAACTTGAAACATGTTAAGTATACATTTAGCAGGATCAAAGATTTGAGCAACAAAAGAAAAATAAAAAAAAAAGCTGTCAAACCTGCATCTTCAAAAACAAGACTGTGGTTTACATAAACAGACATGATTGGTGTCTAAAGATATATTTCTTCACATTGCTATACTTTATAAACTAAAGTAAAGTACAGTTTTAAGTATTGATAATTTTATTTAGCATGAATGAAACATCAGAGTACAAAGTGAGACAAAAAAAATCCAAATTAGGTTTAACAGAGCAAGAAAATTTGCACAGTATTTTTGGTAATATTTTTTCTTCTGGAGAAAGTCTTATTAGTTACCCTTCGGCTAGTATAAAGGCAGTTTTTAATTTTTTACAAACCATTTTAGGGTCAAAATTATTAGCTCCTTAAAGCATTTTTTTCCCCGACTGTCTACAGAACAAACCATCATTATACAATAACTTACCTAAATATCCTAACCTGCCTAGTTCGCTTACCTAACTAGTTAAGCCTTTAAATGTCACTTTAAGCTGTATAGAAGTGTCTTGAAAAATATCTAGTAAAATATTATTTACTGCCATCTTGGCAAAGATAAAATAAATCAGTTATTAGAAATGAGTTATTAAAACTATTATGTTTAGAAATGTGTTGAAAAAATCTTCTCTCCGTTAAACAGAAATATGGGGAAAAAATAAACAGAGGCTTAATAATTCAGGTGTCGGGGAATAATTCTAACATCAACTGTATATAAACTTAGTTAACCAATTTTCATCAAGCACAAATGAAACTAAAACAAAATGTAAATAAAAACTATATAGGCCAAAAAAAAAAACATTACTACAAATTAAAAAGAAACAAACTAAACAAATCAAAATAAAATAAAATGATTTCTAAATGACTGACTTTCTAATTTAAGTTAAACACTGGTATTGTGTTAATAAACATGAATCCAAACATGTCTGAAAACATGGCAATGTCTTGGCTATTTTATATTTGATATTTTATTTATAAATGACAATTCATACTACTACTACTACTACTACACCTACTACTACTACTAAAATAATAATAATAATAATAATTATAATAATAATAATAATAATAATAATAACAACATAAACATAACAAAAAAAATCTAAATCCAAAGGACGTCATTTTTCCATAATTACAATATATGTACCGTATGTATATGTAGTAGAAGTGTACATATAAAACACATCACTCAAAGTTTGCGGTACACATTTTTTGGGATTATATTTAATGTTAGCTTAGTAACATGCTAGCGTATCACGTGCATCTCCCAAGCTAGTCTTCCATGCTTCTCTGAAGAGCACTATTTGCATTAAGCAAGGGATCATTATCAAGCTGCTACCTATGAAGAGTGCTTCAAAAGTCACTTGAAATTCTCTTTCATGCTACTCATGTAGGCAGCAGAAAAGCAGTCAGCTTATAGAGTGAAAATGACAGACCACGCCACAAAAATATGAATACAAAGATATTTGTAGAAGACAGTTGCCAATGACTTCATTCATTCATCCATCCATCCATCCATCCATCCATCCATCCATCCATCCATTTTTCTTCGGCTTAGTCACTTTATTCATCAGGAACCCAGCCTTTTTGCTTTGAGGCAACAGTTCTAACCACTAAGCCACCTTGCCACACTCACTGACTTTCATAGTAGGAATAAAAATACTCAGAAAGTTAAAATGTTTCTATCATTCTTCAAAATATCTCAAGTTGTGTTTAACAGAAAGAAAAAAAAACCCTCAAACAGGTTTAGATCAAATGATGACACTATTTAATTTTTTAGGTGAACTGTCACTTTAAGGAGCTGGTCTAAGTTATACACTAGCTTAAAGGGTCACGAAACACCAAAACACATTTTTTGAGCTGTTGACAGTCGTATATGTGTCCCACACTGCTAAAAACACTATTAGGACACCTATATTTCACTAAAAAGTGTAAATTGGTTGTTTTTGCGTTATTTCAAGCAAATTCGTACTTCCTGTTTGAAACGAATTTTTGAAGCTGCGTCACGGTCATGACATAATAGCGTTGTATTCCAGCGTGCAGACTGGGCGTCTGTGCCAGAGTGTGCCTTATTACGTCTTACAGTGTGATGCATTAATGCATGAGTAAGGGTTGGTTCAAACCAATCAGCGCGCTCTATTGTGCAACTTCATTAATATTCATTAGTGTCACCGTCTTTACACCACAGAGACGCCACGTTGTGTTGGCAAAACAAGCGTGAAGTGTTGCTTTTACAGTTTGCTGCCATTAAGTTTCGTTTTCATTTTCTCTCTGTGAGAGCTTATCTGGATCACGTGTGGATTACAGTGTACGCGACGCTCGACAACAATAACTTACGTGTCTAAGGAGGATTATTGTTTACCTGAGAGCTGTTCTCATCTGCAAACGCTAAAATCCGGATTCCGGATGTAGTCTTCTCTTCATAAAGACGCGGCTCTAGTTGCTGGTGATTGTCCTGTCTCTACAGATTTGGTAAGTGAGTGACCAGTGCTCTTTGTATATTCAGTTTGTTCGTATCAAATAAGTTAACTATTGCATTGAGTGCAAACATGTTAGCACCGCATTTTGTGACCGGAATAACACACGCGGCTTTCGGACGCTACCTGCCGTGTGCATCTAAGTTTCCGGGAAATGCTGAGTTTTTTTTCTGTCATTCGCCGTGCGGTATCAAACATTGCATGAAAAATACACGCATAGAGCAGACCTTCGAATCAAATATCTCATTTGTCGCGAGGGGCATGAATGAATTCCCTGAATGAAAGAGCCAAACTGCAGTTAAAGTCCAACATTTAATAATTTGGCAAATAATTCGACTACAGATGTCCATGTAGGTTAAACACCATCCCTTTCTCCTGTGTATTTTGACTGAAACTCGCGCGTGCCCAAATAGACACTCCCACACCCTCCCACTTTAGTTTCTCCGACACTCCCCCCTAAACAGAGCTGGACACC